ACTAACTCATCTTCTATAGAACTCATATTCTACCAGAACTCTATCTAAACTCATCTCTACTAACTCATCTTCTACTAACTCACTCTACTAACTCATCTTCTACTAGAACCCTCTTCTACTAGAACTCACTAACTACTCATCTTCTCTAGAACTCCTTCACTAGAAACCCTCTCTACAACTCACTCTACAGAACTCATCCCTACTAAACTCATTTCACTAGAATCATCTTCTACTAACTCATCTTCTACTAACTCATTTCTACTAACTAATCTTCTACCAACTCATCTTCTAATAGAACCATCTTATACTAATCATCTTCTACTAGAACAATCTTCTACTAACTAAATTCTACAATCATCTTCTACTAATTAATCTTCTACTAGAACTCATAAATTTTACTAACTAATCTTCTACTAACTCCCTCTTCTACTAGAACTCATCTTCTACTAACTCATCTTCTAACTCACTTCTACTAACTCATCTTCTACAACTCATCTTCTACTAACTCATCTTCTACTAACTCATTCTTCTACTAGAACTAACTCTACTAAATCATCTCTACTAACCAAACTTCTACTAACCATCTCTACAACCATCTCTACTAGAACTCATCTTCTACTAACTCATTTTTATACTAACTCATCTTCTACAGAACCATACTACTAGAACTCATCTTTCAACTCATCTTCTACAAAATCATCTTTCAATCAATTCACAACCATCTTCTAGAACTCACTCTACTAGAACTCATCTCTACAACTCACTCTCAGAATCACTCCACTAGAACTACCCAAACTCAGCTTACTGAAATCACTTCAAACACTTGCGAGAAAGAGTCTCTACGAACTTCAGTCACAAGCAGACACTAACAATTACCAACCACTCTAAGAACTCACTTACTAACTATATCTACTAGAACAGCTTCTACAACTAAATTCATAAAATCATCTTACAATTCATCTTCTACAGAACGACAACGAAACACGAACGCACAACTCATCTGCTACAGAACTCTCCTACAAACGTTACTAACTCACTCTACTAACATATCTGACAACTCACTCAAATACTTGCAGATTCACTAAACTCATCTCTACTAACTCATCGTCTGCAGAACTCACTCTAAACTGCTTTCTCAACAACCAGCCCGCCAGAAAACCCCACAGAACCACACAACAGCGGACAAAAGCAACCACAAACCACCACAACGCACCACAACCACCACAACCACCACAAACCTCCACGAACCACCACTAACACGGACAACCCACCCTAACCCTCACAAACAGCCAAACCATTTTTACAACCACCACACCATCATCAAACCATCTCACAAACTTTATCCCATCACAGAACCATGCTACAACCACAACAACCATCCTACGAAGCATCTTCTAAACTCATCTCTACTAGAACTCATCTCACTAACTCATCTTCACTAACTCATTCACAGAATCATCTTTACTAAATCACTTTTACTAGAACCATCTTCTACTAACTCATCTCTACTAAACTCATCTTCTACTAAACTCTCTTCTACTAACTCATCTTTACTAGAACTCTCTTTCTACTAGAAATCATTCTACTAAAATCATCTTCTACTAACCATCTTCTACTAACTAATTCTATAAACTGTCTTCTACTAAATCCTCTTCTACGAACTCATCTTCACTAAACTCTTTTACTGAAAATATTTCTATTTAAATAATTTTTACTAACTCTCTTACTAGAACTCATTTTACGAACAATTTTTCTACTAGAACTAATTTACAAATTTTATTTTTACTAGAACTCATCTTCTACTAAAATCATCTTCTACTAAACTATCTTCTTTCTAGAACTCATTTTTCTATTAATCTTCTCTTCCCTCTTTTATAGAACTCTTTCTCAACCTTAAAAAAGAACTCACTTACTGAAAAAATCTTGTTCATGGTTGGATTCTTAAATTCTGCCCGGCCAGTGGTTAAAATTGGCGCAGACCTTGAAAAAAAGAACATTCCCATGCTAATCGCCCAAAGTATGTCCTCTTCCCCGCCCGGGCCCTTACTAAGGGACTTTTCAAAATTGGAGGGGGTGAACGCAACTTCAAGTAGTAAACCCCAACACAAACAAAATATGTACAACCATTCTATATAGCTGGGCATAGAAGGTTTCTTCCCTCTGGGCCCTGGTTTCCTCTTTTAAAGGGTGCTTTTCCCCCTTGTTTTCATGAAAAGCATTTGATAAAGACCTTCAAAGACCCTTTTTTTTTAAATTATGCTGGCTAGCTTTTCTTCTTTCCTCTTTCTCTTTTCTTTTCTGTTCTGTTTTGCATGCTGCGCTCTCCTCGACCTCTTGTTTGTTCTGGGCTGCTCTTCTCTCGCTCTCTCCTCCTTCTCTCGCTCTGCTCCGCCCCTCTCGCTCTCTCTCGCTCTCTCGCTCTCTCGCTCTCTCGCTCTCTCGCTCTCTCTCGCTCTCTCGCTCTCTCTCTCTCTCTCTCTCTCTAAATCAAAACGATGGCAAATATGCCAGGACCCATCTTTACCACATAGCTGATCTGTAATCATAAATATTAGTGCTACATTTTTTTAGGGAAGGCAATTACTTTGAACAGTCAGAGCCAGTTTCTCATGGGGATTACATGCATTTGTTTTCATTTTCCTCAGGCTTCACTGTTGCCTACTGATTTAGTCCTCCTTGGATGAAAAGCTTTTTAATGTGGAGTCTCTCTGTCTCTTTAATCTATGGTGGTCTTGCAGTGCATTTAAATAGGTTATCTCTATGGCTTCCCTTTCAACTGTCTCTCTCACATGTGAACTTGAAATTTTGTGAGCCGTCTCCTATATTCCAAAGTAAATGCAAGACAGTAAGAATAACAGTTTACATAAAGCAGAAGAGTGGTACTGAGGAAGGCAGGGGGCTAAAACAAGTGCTTCATTAAAAAGCACCAGGATGGTAGTGTTACTTAGTTCTCTGAAATGGACGGTCATCATACAGTACAGGAAGAAACTGCTGAACGGTGGCAGTGAGCATACAGTACTGTACGACAACACTTTACTGAATATGACTCCAATATAACTGCATCCCAAGGAACTTGAGGATGGTTTGATGTCATTGGCCTTCTGTTGTGGTCCTCTGTAGCTCAGCTGGTAGAGCACGGCGCTTGTAACGCCAAGGTAGTGGGTTCGATCCCCGGGACCACCCATACATAAAAATGTATGCACGCATGACTGTAAGTCGCTTTGGATAAATGCGTCTGCTAAATGGCATATTATTATTATATTATTGTAAATTTTTGTCATTTAGCAGAAGCTCTTATCCAGAGCGACTCACAGGCGCAATTAGGGTTAAGTGCCTTGCTCAAGGGCACATCGCCAGATTTTTCACCTAGTCGGCTTGGTGATTAGAACCGTTGACCTTTCGGTTACTGGCACAACGCTCTTAACCACTAAACTACCTGCTGCCTTAAGTTGTAAGTGTAGATTACATCTGTCAGTTTCTTGTTTATAACATAGATTTATTGAAGATTAAAAAACCGCTAAACATTCACCAATTGACTTTTTTGGTTATGGGCATACGTTACTGTTTAACTCACTCTCAGCATCCAACGTTTACCTTAGGCCTAAGTATTTCCTTAATAAGGCCTAAGTATTTCCTTATAAAGGCCTAAGTATTTCCTTATAAAGGCCTAAGTATTTCCTTTATAAGGCCTAAGTATTTCCTTATAAAGGCCTAAGTATTTCCTTAAGAAGGCCTAAGTATTTCCTTAATAAGGCCTAAGTATTTCCTTAATAAGGCCTAAGTATTTCCTTAATAAGGCCTAAGTATTTCCTTAATAAGGCCTTAAGTATTTCCTTAATAAGGCCTAAGTATTTCCTTAATAAGTGGATCTTTGCCTCTGGATTTAGTCTTAAAGCAAAAATTATGAGGACATGTTCCAGTTTTCTAATGCGCATAGGTGTAAACTACTTAAGTAAAAATACTTTAAAGTACTACTTAAGTAGTTTTTTGGGGTATCTGTACTTTACTTTACTATTTATATTTTTGACATCTTTTACTTCACTACATTCCTAAAGAAATTAATGTACTTTTTACTCCATACATTTTCCCTGACACCCAAAAGTACTCATTTTGAATGCTTAACAGGACATTAAAATGGTCCAATTCACGAACATCCCTGGTCATCCCTGGTCATCTGTACTGCCTCTGATCTGGTGGATTCACTAAATACAAATGTATATTTTTGAAATTACATTTACTTTTGATACTTAAGTATATTTAAAATAAAATACTTTTTGACTTTTACTCAAGTAGTATTTTACTGGGTGACTATAACGTTTACTTAAGTCCTTTTCTGTTAAGGTCTCTTTAATTTTAGTCAAGTATGACAGTTGGATACTTTTTCCACCACGCTTATAGTGAATCACCTTACTGTAAAATACTCTTACTGTAAATGACCCTTATTGTAAATGACCCTTACTGTAAATGACCCTTATTGTAAATGACCCTTACTGTAAATGACCCTTACTGTAAATGACCCTTACTGTAAATTACCCTTACTGTAAACCTACGAGAAATTCAAGGTCTATTACATTGGTACACACACACACACACACACAGACACACGCACACACACGCACACACACGCACACACACGCACACACGCACACACGCACGCACACACACACGCACACACACACACACACGCACACACACCACTGCTAATATGATTAAAGAACTTTCACCGCAAAAGTGTTTTGCTGCAGTGAGAGCAAACATCTGCTGAAGCTAAAACAAACTACAGCTTTATTTGTGTTGATTCTGGAAAATGAAACCAGCTGTGTAAGTCTAGTACCATCTTACAGTACCACTAGTAGGCTATAGTACTGTATGACATGTCATATAAGATAGTCATGTTTTAGGTGAAAATGCATGTGAAATTCCCAGAAATGTAGTCCAGTAACATATGGACTGAAGCTCACTATTTATCTGCGTTCTTCATTATCTCCCTGTCTCTACAGAGTGTGAGTGAGTTTGGCCTGGACATCATCGAGACCCCAGAGGGAGACAGATGGCCTCAGCTGATCGTCCAGCAGAGCCTGGACCGCGAGCAGAAGGACATCTTCGTCATGAAGATCAAGGTGGAGGACGGAGGAACGCCCCCAAAGTCCAGCACGGCCATCCTCCAGGTCACCATCTCCGACGTCAACGACAATCGACCGGTCTTCAAGGACAGCGAGGTGGAGGTGAACATCCCAGAGAACGCCCCCGTGGGAACCTCCGTCACCCAGCTCCACGCCACGGACGCAGACCTCGGCTCCAACGCACAGATCCACTTCTCCTTCTCCAACCAGATCTCCTCGTCCACCAAGAGACATTTTGCCATCGACAGCACCAACGGGCTGATCACCGTCAAGCAGCCCTTAGACCGGGAGGCCACTCCGGTCCACAAACTCATCGTCCTGGCCAGCGACGGCAGCTCCACCCCCTCCAGAGCTACGGTTATCGTCAACGTAACGGACATTAATGACAACGTTCCGTCCATTGACACTCGGTACATCATGAACCTTGTTAATGGAACGGTTCTGCTGTCAGAGAACGCTCCTCTCAACACAAAAATAGCCCTAATTACAGTGACGGACAAGGACTCGGATCTGAACGGCAAAGTGACTTGTTACACTGACCACGACGTTCCTTTCAGGTTAAAACCAGTGTTTGATGACCAGTTCCTGCTGGAGACTGCAGCCCCCTTAGATTACGAAACAACCAGGGAATATGCAATTAAGATAGTGGCGTCGGATTCAGGGAAGCCTCCTTTGAACACTTCAGCGATGGTTTTAATTAAAATTAAGGACGAGAATGACAACGCTCCCATCTTCCCTCAGCCTGAGATTCAGCTGTCCATACCAGAGAACAATGATCCGTCCACGCAGCTCATAAAGATCAGTGCCAGGGATGCAGACAGCGGACATAATGCTGAGATTATTTATTCTCTTGGCCCCGACGCTCCCGATGGGTTTAACATAGATCGGCGGTCAGGAATCCTCTCCGTTGGCAAACGCCTGGACAGAGAGAAGCACGAGAAGTATTCGTTCACTGTCATGGCGAGGGACAATGGGTCTACTTCGCTGCAGAGCAATGTCACAGTGAGGTTGATAGTGCAGGACCTCAACGACAACAGCCCAGCTTTCACCCATCCTGAGTATAACTTCTACGTGCCTGAGAATCTGCCTCTATACGGTACAGTGGGTCTGATCACCGTCACAGACTCTGACGCAGGTGACAACGCCGTCGGTAACGCTGTCCATCCTGAACGGGAAAGACAATTTCGTTATTGATCCCCGGACCGGTGTGATCAAACCCAACCTCACGTTCGACAGAGAGCAGCAGAGCTCTTACACCTTTATGGTGAAGGCCGTAGACGGAGGGCAACCGCCCAGCACTTCATACGCCAAGGTCACCATAAACGTCGTGGACGTCAATGACAATCGACCCGTTTTTGTTATCCCCTCGTCCAACTACTCTTACGATCTGGTCCAGTCTACCACCAGCCCTGGGTCTGTGGTCACCAGAGTGTTCGCTATAGACAATGACACTGGCATGAACGCTGAGCTGCAGTACAGCATCATTGGAGGATCACCAAGAGGCCTGTTTGCCATAGACAAAACAACTGGTAATATAACTCTGCAGGAGAAGATATTAGCAGCCGATCAGGGTTTACACCGGCTGGTGGTGAAAGTCAAAGACCTGGGCCAGCCGGAGTCCTTACACGCCATCGCCCTCATTCATCTGTTCATTAACGAGACCGTTTCCAACGCTACGTTCATTGAAGAGCAGCTACGTAAGAGCTTGGAGACTCCATTGGACCGTAACGTGGGAGACAGTGAGGTCACACCCCAAGCCAACGGATACGTGATTGTTGTCATCGCTATTATCGCTGGGACTATGACAGTCATCTTAGTCATCTTCGTGACGGCCTTGGTGCGCTGCCGCCAGACGCCCAGGCACAAAGTGGTGCAGAAGGGCAAGCAGAGCGGCGAGTGGGTGTCGCCCAACCAGGAGAACCGTCAAATCAAGAAGAAAAAGAAGAAAAAGAAGAGATCCCCTAAGAGCCTCCTCTTGAACTTTGTCACCATAGAAGAATCCAAGCCTGATGATCCCAGCCAGGAGCACATTAATGGAACCCTGGACCTCCCCGTGGAGCTAGATGAGCAGACCATGGGGAAATACAACTGGGCCACTACGCCGACCACCTTCAAACCTGACAGTCCAGACTTAGCCAAGCATTACAAGTCTGCCTCCCCACAGCCAACCTTCCAAATCAAACCAGAGACCCCGATGGCGCCCAATAAACATCACGTGATTCAGGAGCTCCCGCTAGACAACACGTTTGTGGTGGGCTGTGACTCGCACTCCAAGTGCTCCTCCACCAGTTCGGACCCGTACTCTGTCTCAGAGTGCAGCTGTCAGGGGGGATTCAAGACTCCTGGGCAAATCCACACCAGACAGGTAATTTATAACTTCTTTTTTTTTAAAGCCACCTACTGTTTCCACTCCCACTCCCCGTACCACTGTCCCTTTGGTGATAAGGAGGGTGATGGGTGGCAGCGGGAGGGAGACGGGGGGGGGGGATTGAAACACACAAAAAGTCACATGTGCATGAATGTCATCAGCATTGAATATTGAGGAAGCGTACCTCAGAGAGGAAGGAGAGAACTGAAGTCTGGGCCAAGAAACTTCAACCAAATGAAATCTATCTATACTTCCCAGACAGAGGGGGGGAAAAAACGAAGACAGATTATATCCCTTACGCTATCTTGTACTATATGTCTATAAAACCCTTTAACCTTATTTAGGTTAATGTTCCACTTGAAAGTATAATGGTGGCAGTGGAATGGTGGGAACTAGTGTTAAATGAGAATCTTAAGTGGGAAAGGCTGGTGGCAGAGTAATAGCATGCTTGAGGGAGAATCAAGTCGGCCATGCTACTAATTGAACTCTGCACAGCTGTATTTGCTGAGGACCAATGGATTAAAGCAGCGCTAAGCTTTTTTGATTGACACACCTGAAAAAAACGAGCATGTCTGACAGACAGAGAAAACCAAACATAGAGTCTTTGATTTGACAGTCATCAGCTTAACAGATAAACGTCGGGTTTAGTCAGCTGTTCACGTTCCACTGAAATAGTAGGACATGTATCCCCCAAGAGTGCCACTACACTATAGAATAATAAGACCTCATTAAATAATCCCAGATTTTGGTTGCGTGCTGGAGATATTAAGTGGCGTCTTGACTGTGGAGGCTCTGAAGGCTTTGTGAGTGTGAGGAGGAGAGCAAAGCAAAAGGCTCATTTGAATGCTACGGTCTGGTCTGAGGCTTATGATTCCCTAAGAGATGTGCCAAATGCGAAGTGCCCTAATAAATAAAAGCAGGCCAGGGAAATAGACGTAAATCAGAGGTGAGGAGAGGTGGCCTTGCTGAGGGCAGACAACACGGCAGAGCAGAGCAGAGCAGAGTGGAGCAGAGCAGAGCAGAACAGAACAGAACAGAGTGGAGCAGAGCAGAGTGGAGCAGGGCAGAGTGGAGCAGAGTGGAGCAGAGCAGAGTGGAGCAGAGCAGAGTGGAGCAGAGCAGAGTGGAGCAGAGTGGAGCAGAGCAGAGTGGAGCAGAGCAGAGTGGAGCAGAGCAGAGTGGAGCAGAGCAGAGCAGAGCAGAACAGAGTGGAGCAGAGCAGAGTGGAGCAGAGCAGAGTGGAGCAGAGCAGAGTGGAGCAGAGCAGAGTGGAGCAGAGTGGAGCAGAGCAGAGCAGAGTGGAGCAGAGCAGAGCAGAGCAGAGTGGAGCAGGAGGGGGTAGCTAGACGGGGGCTTAGGGACCAATAGGAGGAGGGGGTAGCTAGATGGGGGCTTGGGACCAATAGGAGGAGGGGGTAGCTAGACGGGGGCTTAGGACCAATAGGACGAGGGTGTAGCTAGATGGGGGCTTGGGACCAATAGGAGGAGGGGGTAGCTAGACGGGGGCTTGGGACCAATAGGAGGAGGGGGTAGCTAGACGGGGGCTTGGGACCAATAGGAGGAGGGGGGTAGCTAGACGGGGGCTTGGGACCAATAGGAGGAGGGGGTAGCTAGACGGGGGCTTGGGACCAATAGGAGGAGGGGGTAGCTAGATGGGGGCTTGGGACCAATAGGAGGAGGGGGTAGCTAGACGGGGGCTTGGGACCAATAGGAGGAGGGGGTAGCTAGATGGGGGCTTGGGACCAATAGGAGGAGGGGGTAGCTAGATGGGGGCTTGGGACCAATAGGAGGAGGGGGTAGCTAGATGGGGGCTTGGGACCAATAGGACGAGGGGGGTAGCTAGACGGGGGCTTGGGACCAATAGGAGGAGGGGGGTAGCTAGATGGGGGCTTGGGACCAATAGGAGGAGGGGGTAGCTAGACGGGGGCTTGGGACCAATAGGAGGAGGGGGTAGCTAGACGGGGGCTTGGGACCAATAGGAGGAGGGGGTAGCTAGATGGGGGCTTGGGACCAATAGGACGAGGGGGTAGCTAGACGGGGGCTTGGGACCAATAGGAGGAGGGGGGTAGCTAGATGGGGGCTTGGGACCAATAGGAGGAGGGGGGTAGCTAGACGGGGGCTTGGGACCAATAGGAGGAGGGGGTAGCTAGACGGGGGCTTGGGACCAATAGGAGGAGGGGGTAGCTAGATGGGGGCTTGGGACCAATAGGAGGAGGGGGTAGCTAGACGGGGGCTTAGGACCAATAGGACGAGGGGGTAGCTAGACGGGGGCTTAGGACCAATAGGACGAGGGGGTAGCTAGACGGGGGCTTGGGACCAATAAGAGGAGGAGGTAGCTTGAGAGAGCCAGTTAAAGCTATTTAACCAATTCATTAGAATATTTAATTACCTAGCTTGCTAGAACATTTTCGAATGGTGTATAAAAGCAATAGTTACAAAGCAGGTGGTTGGTTTGGTAATGAAGGTTAGGGTTCATCATTGGGGGTCGTTGTGGTGTGGTAGAGAGAGAGAGACAGTATTAATGTAGGTTAGGGTTCATCATTGGTGGTCTTCATGGTGTGGTAGAGAGAGAGAGACAGTATTAATGTAGGTTAGGGTTCATCATTGGGGGTCGTTGTGGTGTGGTAGAGAGAGAGACAGTATTAATGTAGGTTAGGGTTCATCATTGGTGGTCTTCATGGTGTGGTAGAGAGAGAGAGACAGTATTAATGTAGGTTAGGGTTTATCATTGGTGGTCTTCATGGTGTGGTAGAGAGAGAGAGACAGTATTAATGTAGGTTAGGGTTTATCATTGGTGGTCTTCATGGTGTGGTAGAGAGAGAGAGACAGTATTAATGTAGGTTAGGGTTCATCATTGGTAGTCTTTATGGTGTGGTAGAGAGAGAGACAGTATTAATGTAGGTTAGGGTTTATCATTGGTAGTCTTCATGGTGTGGTAGAGAGAGAGAGACAGTATTAATGTAGGTTAGGGTTCATCATTGGGGGTCGTTGTGGTGTGGTAGAGAGAGAGACAGTATTAATGTAGGTTAGGGTTCATCATTGGTAGTCTTCATGGTGTGGTAGAGAGAGAGAGACAGTATTAATGTAGGTTAGGGTTCATCATTGGTAGTCTTCATGGTGTGGTAGAGAGAGAGACTATTCTACTGTCTAGAGAATAGGATACTATTCTACTGTCTAGACATGTTGGAAACAAGGTCATAACATGGGATTCATTCATACAGTAAAATACATTTGCATTATAGATGCCCAATGAAATTGTATTGTGCTGGAATTATTTTGTTGTTTATTTAAAAAAACAATTTCTTTCAGGATTATTGCTCACATCCAAAATAACACATTCTGGCGCAGTATCATCATTCATCTTTAATTTATTTTATTTGATGAAGTGTAACATTGTGCTTGTCTATCTTGACGGAATTGCACAGAGTTTTTTTTTCATCCTTTGTAGCATAGTTGTTACAAATTACTGTCTATCATTTTACATTTAGCAGACACTCTTATCCAGAGCAATTTACAGTAATGCGCGCGGATATTTTCATACATTTTTTTCCTGTACTGGTCCCCCCGTAGGAATCGAACCCGCAACCCTGGCGTTGCAAGCACCATGCTCTACCCCACAGGACCACTATCCACTGATGCGTTGTGTACACAGACATTTAAAGAGACACCCTACGCAGAACAGATATTCATTTTTCCCCACCCACCTTTTATTTAAAACCCATTTAAAAGCAACGCTGCCATGGGACATTATACGTAAGCCTACTTGAATAGGCAGTACAGCGCACTAAGGAACATATAATTAACTTGGTGTTTGTAATGCTCCCTGTCAAGTTGTCAGAATGGTTTTGCACTCATACTGGTTATAACCTGCCTTGAAATACCCCCTGAAATATGCACAAATATTTAACCAATGTTTTGCTATTCTGATTCATGCTTTTGTTTTGGGGGCGATATTAATGGTGTATTTCAAATATTCCATGTCGCTGATGTTGTTCATCAGTGATAAATACTTCTCCTTTAAGCTAATCTGAATATGAATGAGTTTATGACTTAAGTCAACGTTCTCCTCTGTCCTCGTAATGTGCCGTATCAAATGTTTCCATCAGTGTATTTTATCTTGTGTATTTCAGGGCTTTGCTAATCTGAAAGATGCATTGGAGTTTAATCACTTTTTTTGTTTCTCATGGGGTAATTATTGGTCGTAATATTTGATCAGATTCTGGTCTGAAGTGGGACAGCGTTGTTCAAACTGAAAGACCCAGCACCACCTTAGAGATGTCAGGATGATGGTGTATCTATTATCTCTAGTTTAATCTCCTGTCACCTGGAGCGTTTGAAAAGTAGGGCCTCCCTGTTGGCATTAGATGTGACAGTTAAGTGTGCTTTATTCAAAGCCTATGCGTGAAGTAAAACAGGGTCTGGTGAGAATCTAGAGCTCAAAAAGGTTAATTAAATGCATCAAAGGGTTAATCACTCATAATACAATATGATTAAAATCTCTGTAATTAGGTTTCGGGAGAGGATAATAGATAAAAGAGGATTGTTAAGATTATATCAGGTATACCTAAATATCATTGGCTGTCACTAGGTCTCTAATATTATTGGACCTCTGACAGCCAATGAATGACAATTACTGGCTACAACTTCCTAGTTTTGACTTGTCCGTAAACTCTCGCTGTCACGCCCTGGCTCTGGGGACTCTTTAATGTTGAGCCAGGGTGTGGATTTTTTTCTGTTTTGTTTTCTATGTTTTTGGTTCTAGTTCGTTTTGATCTATGTTTGGCCAGGGTGGTTCCCAATCAGAGGCAGCTGTAGCTCGTTGTCTCTGATTGGGGGGGGGACCATACTTAGGCAGCCTGTTGGGCATTAGTATTTTGTGGGATCTTGTTCCGTAAGGTTTTGTGCTATTAACCTAGGACTTCACGTATCGTTTTCTTTATTGTTTTGGTTCGTGTCGTGTACACTAAATAAAGTATCACGCTGCCCCTTGGTCCGCATCTGTCAACGATCGTGACACTCGCTCCAATAGATTCCTCTTTTATACATTTGATACAGTTCAAATCAATTCTCTAATGCTCCCCAGAATATTAACATGAATGTTTTTCTTTATCTCGTAAAATGAAAATGTTTTGTCGAGTGTGGAATTCACAATTGTGATCCGTTCAAGTCAGCCTGGCCTTAACAAAAGCAGCAATATGGCAAGTTGACGCCACTCAATCTCCCTGAGCATAAACCTGTAATACAAAAAGTCCCAAAATACAGGATAAAAAACCGATTGTGATGTTTTTATTTGTTCACGACAGTGAAAGACGATGTGATTTAGTTCCTTTTGCGTGCCTCTTCCATTGACCTCTTACCTAAAGCAGAAAGACGATGAAGGATATAACAGAAAACATTCATTGAATCCTAATAGGAGACACAGGAGACTTACAGATGAAGGTTAGATTGATGTTTAAGGGAACTTACAGATGTAGGCGCTAAAGAGGAAAGCTTGTCAAAGTACTTCAGAGACCGTATGTTTATGGAACCATATGGCATCTTAATATCCTAAGAGCTCTGTTTGGTAGGATCCAATGCTGCTCGGTGCACCGTCGCCTCGTTTTTCTCTCTCTTTTATTCCCTCCCTCCCTCGTCTCTTCCTTCCTTCTCTTTTCTCCCCGTTCTCAGCCGGTAGTTTTAGAGGTCAATCCCCCCCCCCCCCGGTGACGTGCGGGGAAACCTCTGTCTCAATCTGTGCTTTAGTTTGTGGCAGATCAAATGAGCAACCACACAGGCATGAATATGCAACAGCAAAGAGGCCAATATGCTGTTTTGTTGGTCCCCATATTCCGCAGGGCCACAGTGCATACCAGGTCAGTTGTTGGTGTCAGACTCAACATCCTGTAGTTGGTGTGTTTCTTAGCCCGTTAACATATTCACACTTAACAGACTGTACACAGACATTACCATTTAAACGTATGATCTCAGAACGTGAACATTTGAAAGGATTGCAGACGTGATTATGTTATTGTTGTAATTTACAATATATTCTTAAGACAATCGCTGTAGCTAAGTGTTATAGCCACCCTTACAGAAAATCCCATGATTTCACATATAGAAAATCCCATGATTTCACATGAAATTTCACTTGCAATAGTATTTTTTTTATATATTTTTATATATTTTTTTGCAACAGTCATTGCTTCTATAATCTGTAGGTAGACCTAATGTAGCGCAAGGTCAGATTCAACACGATCATTCGGATATCAGCAGATGTGTCTTATGTCGGTTTTAATGGCAGACCCGAGTGAATGTCAGATTCTGTACCTATCAGAGGACCTACTGTAGGACTACATTATGAAG